GATATTCATCGTTTAGATTACAAAATTAATTAAAACTCGCGGCTATCTCGAGGTTAGGGGTCAAATTGTAACAAATGGATGGCAGGGTAGGGATTGTGAACACAAGGTTTGTAGAGCAATGTGCTCTTGATCTTGAACTAAGCGACACTCTGATGGAAAAGACAAACATGGGGGTACACCGATGGGCAGCTAACAACTTGGGAGAACACAAGATGACACTAACTACTAAATCCTCAGATCTATCCGTTTTAAAAACACATAAATTAAATTGCAATAGATGGGATCTCGGCTCGCCAAGACATCTCTGTGGATGTGGATAACTCAGATCTGGCAACACGGTGTAAGGTACATGACCAAACAACATGCTCGATATCGTGATAACCACTGCCACACGCACATAAATTGCTGCCTGAGAGCCCAATTCGGTGGAAGTGCGAGTCTAACGAGCAGTGATTGGACATAAGCCTTGATATAACGCGTATAAAGTCGCGGCTCATGTCCAACCCTTTGAACCATGGTTTGTTCGACACCTGTGGGAGAATGGAATGTAACCATCTTCCCAATTCACCATCATTCCATTTTTGTTGCCAACTGATGAGGACTTGCTGACGAGCAATGGAGAAAAATCCGCCCACCTTAGCCAACGAGTCCGCTTTCTCATTAGCCGGAATGAGATGGGACCCAAGCTAAGGTGGTAGTATAGGAGCAGTTGGATAAAGCACATCGGCCTCATTGAACGAATAGCCTCCAATGAGCTAAGACTATCCGTAAAAATGAAATAATGGTCAGAAGGTAGTAGGGCAATTCGCTCTACTGCGTAAAATATAGCTGCGAGTTCCGCAACGTATACGGAGCAAGGTTTCTGCAGTTTATAGGAGGCGCTATGAAATTGATACTTGATTGCAAAAATTGAGGGAACAACCATCGACCGATGGTGATCTGGTATTCCATGGAATTCTTGCATCATGGTCAGATCAAAATTTACAGAGGAACTATAGAAGGCTTGAAAGCAATCACGATTGGAGACTAATGAAGAAGGATCAACCTCCAGCGTGAACATTGGCAGCAGCAAGAAGAGCAGATTAAGATGAAAAATTTGAAGTAGGGCACCTCTGCTATTTGAATGAAGAATTTGTTCCTCGCTGACCGTTGTTAACAGCAGAGGAATTTATACACTCATAAAAATTCAATGCTAATTTTAATGTGTCCCACACATGAATTTTTGCAATGTGATAAACAAATGAAATATATGCGTCAAACACATAGTTCTTATGTGAACAAATAAAATTCATATGTCACCACACATACTATTCATTTGACTTATACATTTCATGTGTACTTCTGAGTGGATTCTGGATATTTGGATATTTTTTAAACTTGACTTTCTCATATGTAAAGTTAAATATTGGAGATTTGAATCCAGCGCGCTTTAGCTCGTCTTTAGAACAATGTTACTTTACTTATCCTGATCCAAATTCAAGCGCGTGCTTGTAGGAAAAATTAAAGTAAATCCAATTTCTAACGCTCTTTTCCAGGTAAAATTGCATTCGCTCACGTATTCTAAATTTGAGGGCCCACTTCCTTGTAAAATTTTACGCTTTACGCTTCTCGTAATCTGAATTCGGGCGCTCTTGTTCAAGTTCAGCGTCACCCTTATGGAAAGACTAGTGAGTGACTTCTATTCAGTTTGAAATTTCTCATTTACTCAGTTAGTAGACTGGCCCACAAAAATAAAAGTTCTAATTTTCCACGGGCCAACCTCTAGATTTGTGCCTTTAGGTGAGAAAACCATTCTCTGAAAGTTTAAACTCATTTGGTTGGCGCTTTTAGTTTGAATTTTGTATGGAAAATTTGGATAAAATACACGAAGAAAGAACACTCCTACACTCTACGTGTGAATGTGCGGTTTTAGAGCAAATTGTAAACAAACTCAGTAGCTGTCCCATACAAAAATCCCACACCTCCCTATTCGCACGCGCCCGAGGATCGGAGGCGAATGCCGCTTCGACTTGTTTCGTCTACTTACTACTCTCTGACGACTGTGCTGGGGAAGCAGCATATGCATGTAGGTAATTGGAGGATTTGTTAGTTAATTCGACGCTTTTGGACAATGTTGGACATTTACCAGTTTTAAAATAGTTTCTTGTTGAAAATCAACATTCGGAAGCATTGTTATCGATGCGTTGCCATATTTCTGATCGATTGGTGATAAAAATATTGACATTGGACCAGGGGCAGCTGAGTTAGTAACGTTTAAAATCTTTCTTAATTTGTTACATGTTCCATTTTCGGTTTTCACAAAGTGTACCCCCATATAGAAATCAAAGACGTAGTCCTACGTCAAAAAAAACATTGTCCAGGTGACTCGCCTAAAAGCTTGCAGAGATGAATCTAGCTGTCTTCATGGGCGCAAGACATCATCATGAAAGTATTTTCCTTAAAGGGTGTCCACGATGAAATTGCCACACACAAAATTGATTCGCAAAATTCGAGTTTTCATCCGATTGCCATCAAATTTTCAGGGATTGAGAAATAACTATTAAACTTCATTTAACCATTTTACTCGTATTTTATTTACAGTCCATATGCAAATGCCCGCACCTTGGCCTTAACCCCGGCCATAAGATTCTGCACAACCTGTGAATCAACCGTTTTTTGCATGTAAACCCATACTTTCTTCAGTTCCTCGACTGTCTTCACTACCTTAGGTCGTTTAAGAAGGTGCTGCTTCATAATCGCCCAGTACTTCTCGATGGGGCGGAGCTCCGGAGTGTTGGGAGGGTTGAACATTTTCGGCACGAAATTGACCTTATTGTCCGCATACCACTTCAGCACGTCCTTGGAGTAGTGGCATGAGGCCAAATCCGGCCAGAAGATTGTTGGGACGTTGTGGGCCTTCAGGAGAGGAAGCAGCCGCTTCTGGAGGCACTCTTTTATGTACACCTGTCCGTTCATCGTGTCCTGGGTCACGAAAGGTGCACTCCGCTTCCCGCACGTGCAGATGGCTTGCCAAACCAGGAATTTCTTCGCAAATTTGGACATCTTCTGAGTGCGGACATGCTCCGGAACGCTGAACTTATCCTTGGCCGTGAAAACCAGGTTGCCGGGGATCTGTTTGAAGGCGGCCTTCACATATGTTTCGTCGTCCATGATGCAGCATTCAACTTTCGTCAGCATGTTGAGGTACAACTTCCTGGCACGGGTTTTGGCGGACTTGTTCTGCTTCTCGTCGCGATTAGGGGCCTTTTGTACCTTGAACGTTCGAAGCCCAGCCTTAGTTTTGGCCTTCTGAACAAAACTTCGGCTTAGGTGCAGCTTCTTAACCACATCCCTAACGGAGGCGTTCGGATTTCGGTTGAAGGCCCCAACTACGCGGTTGTGATTTTTGGTGTTGTACGGAATACTTTTTCCTTCACTTCTGGGCTTCCGATCGGTGGTCAACCGTTCCTCGAACCGCTTAATCACTCGCGACACCGTGGAATTCGCGATTCCCAACGTTTTAGCGATGGAACGATGCGAGAGATCCTTGTTCTCGTGATGAATGCGCAAGATTTTATCACGCACGAGCTGTTCTTTCGACTCCATTTCCGCGAGTTTTGATCACAGGACTTTAAAACTTGCAGGATGTAAATAATGCACTATGAACTAAATCCACCCAAATTTTCATTAAATTCTACCCAACGGTTAAAAAGAGCAATTTCATAGTGTGGCAATTTCATCGTGGACACCCTTTACGTTTTATTAATGCAGCCATTACGTAAGTGGAAATAATTTTAATTCACATCAATTGATCATCGAAGGGAATTAATATGTACGTGTACGGTTGCACCACTCACGCCAACCTCCGATGAGTGGATCAAAAATTATGTACTTTTCTGATAAGATGGCGCCCGCTATCGTTGGTCGTCGAAGGGGCGATTGGGTCGATCCTCTAAAAACTTCACTACATGGCAGCCTCTTGTAAATTTCTGCTTGGTACGATGACTTACCTCTTGAAGCTCCCAGGGATGAATAGCCATGAGTTCTGGTTTTTCGAATACACGAAGCATCAATTCGACATAGAGTGTATGTCGACTCGTGTTCCATATACATTTCTACCGATTCTTTAATACAGCTCATTTCACACTTCAAGCTGAACATTGCATTCGGTCCTAAGTAACATTGGCAGATTCTTTTCGTTGACTTTCTCTTTGTATCCCCACGGCCATGTAAAGACATTCCTTGGTATTTTCAGCACACAGATCGATAAAAGAAGCTTTTATCTAGCATCTAATACGACAAACACAGCAAGAAACGATTATGTGCTCAAGTTATTAACGAAAGAGAAAATCGACGAAGAGAATCGATCAATGTTACTTTTAGGACCTAATGCAATGTTCAGCTTGACTTTTATAAGCTCATGGCTATAAACCGCACATCTCCGTTCTACTCAGAGAAAAAAAAATGTATCGACATATTTAAATGCGTCTAGATTAGCAAATATTGAAGAATTGTTTGAAGGGATTTCATGTGGACTTAGTTAATGTTTGCTATGTTTTATGCACATATCAGAGCAATTCTTGGAGCAATCAATCTTTATCATTTAATTAAAAATAAACATTAAATTTTCCGTTTATCAACTATGTAAAATCTAGGAATTTTTGTTCCGATCCCGAATCACTTCACTACGGATTCGCGAACCGGCCTTCGTGTTCTTTTTATTAACTTCTTCTAATTATTTCAGGATACAACTCGCGGTGAACTCGGACGGGGAAAATAAAACTAAAAACGCCCGGACTCTTTGACCGTTTACAAAGTACTGATTTTATTTCGTATTCTGTTTGTTCTACATAGATTGTCTTCCGTTTGTGTGTGTGTTAGTGTTTACTGAAGGTGTATGGTATATGAGGATCAAAAGCAAATACAAACAGGGTAGGGTGGTTTGAAAAACTATTGGAATGTTAGGGTGGTTCAAAAAAGTTACTATCTTTGCATTTAACATTCCAGCCGCCAAGAATGGATTATTCTTCATCGGCGCTGGAGTCATATGATGACGGGGATTGCTGCTGGATTGTCTCTGGATCTATCTCCACCGGTAGCAGGCAGAGTTTGCTTACAGCTCTCTTCGTAACTCCGGTACTGGTCCTAACCCAAGCTACACGGACAAGCCCATCGGTTCCTGGATGGACGTCGACAATTCTTGCAACGGCCCACTTCTGCGGCGGCAGATTTTCATCTCGTAGCAGAACGATGGCACTACGGACGAGGTTGGCCGTAGTATTTGACCAGCGGTAGCGGTTGTGGAGGGTACAGAGGTAATCCTTCTGCCAGCGTTGCCAAAACTGCTGAGACAGGCACTGGACACGTTGCCAGCGGGACAAGCGGTTCTCTGGAACATCTTGCAGGCTGGGCTCTGGAATAGCATTGAGCGGCCTTCCCACCAGGAAGTGTCCTGGAGTTAAGGGTTGGAAGTCTTGCGGGTCCTCTGACACAGAAGTTATTGGTCTTGAATTCAACGCAGCCTCAACTTGGACGAGGGCGGTTCTGAATTCAGTTTCTGTCAGCATAGCGTTTCCCATGATACGGCGGAGATGGAACATCATTGACTTCACCGCCGCTTCCCAGATTCCGCCTAGCGATGGCGATCTGGGAGGAATGAAGTGGAATTCGATGGTACTCGTAGTGCACTCACGAGCTACGACGTCTTTATGCTGTTGAGAAACGAATAGTGTGCGGAGATCTGCTAACTCACGTTGAGCTCCCACAAAATTCCGACCATTGTCACAGTATATGTTGCTGGGCTTGCCACGTCTTCCGGTGAAACGGTGCAAGCTAGCGATGAATGCCTCCGATGTCAAATCGGAAATGAGGTCAAGGTGTATCGCCTTGACAGCCAAGCACACGTAGACCACTACGTACGCCTTGACAGGAGCTGCTCTTTTGTTGGGTGCTCGAAGCATAATTGGGCCGGCAAAGTCAACCCCAACATTCTCGAACGGGAATGCTCTGGTTACTCGAACCGGCGGAAGATTACCCATTAGTTGCTCCAACGACTTCGGGGAGGCACGAGTGCAGATAACACAGTGATGCACGGTGGTACTGGCGAGATTCCGACCATTCAGTGGCCAGAAGCGACGACGCAGAGATGAAAGAAGAAGATTCGGGCCACCGTGAAGCGTTTTAAGGTGCTCGAGCGAGACGATCATTCTGGTGAGACGATGGTTTGCAGGCAGTACCACAGGGTGCCGTTTGTCAACGGCGAGAGCAGAATGATGAAGCCGGCCGCCAACTCGGATCAATCCATCGATGAGTTTCGGATTCAGGAAACGTAATTTGGATTTCTTGCTTACGGCTTCGTTTCGAGCGAGTTGCTTCATTTCAGAACCGAACGCGTCTTCTTGCACACGACTTATGAGACCGAGTAACGAACGATCGATTTCCGACGCCGACAACGGACCGGTTACGCGTTCATTCTTCACCCGACGAGTGTTCTCACGAAAACGGTGCCACCACGCGCACACGCGAACGAGAGGGGTTAGGCTTGAATAGCGATCGATGATGTCTTCTGGCTCTGTAAAGACAGGCAGCGCCACAACTTTCCGTAATTCTGGACCTTCACGATTCTGTTTACGCGACACGTAATTCGGCGGCCACGGTTCACTTAACGATCTGATCCAGATAGGTCCATTCCACCATAGAGTATTTTCTACTAGATTCTCTAGGCTGGTTCCTCTCGACAACAGGTCAGCGGGGTTTTCGTCGGAGGGTATGTGATTCCAGGAGGCTGAAGCGGTCAACTCCTGAATTTCTGCTACTCTGTTGCTGACGAAAGTCTTCCAGGTCGACGGTGAAGCAGAGATCCAATCCAGTGTTACGGTCGAATCTGTCCAAAGATAAACTGGAGCCACGAGTGAGGTGCTCTTTAGAACTTGAGCCAGGAGATGCGCTAGGAGTAGCGCGGCGGAGAGCTCCAATCTCGGAATTGACTTACTACTGAGTGGAGCTACACGGGACTTGGCCGTTAGCAATTGGACATAGCATTGGCCTTTTGCGTCGACCGACCTGATATACACGCAGGCTCCATATGCCTGCAGGGAGGCGTCGCTGAATCCATGGATTTCTAACCTTTGGTGCGGTGAGAGCATGACCAACCGCGGAATGCGAAGACCATCTAGGTGACGTATATCTCGCTGATACGACGTCCATTCTTCCACGAACTTCACTGGAAGCGGTGTATCCCATTCTAGTTGACACTTCCAGAGGGCTTGTATTATGATCTTCGCATGAACAACTTTTGGGCCTAGCAGCCCGAGTGGGTCAAACAGGCTACTCATCTGTGACAGAACGGTTCTCTTAGTGATTGGCTGGCTATCCTTCCACTTTGGAGGTTTGAATGACAGTTGATCGGTGGTGGGTTCCCAGCGTAGACCAAGAGCGGTAACAGAGGTATCTCGATCTAGTTCTAGCAGCGTACGCGTTTCTCGGAGGTGTTCTGGAACGACATCCAGCACGTCTTGACAATTCGAAGACCATTGTCGAAGAGGAAATCCTCCGGCTGCTAGAAGCCCAATCATCTCGTTCACAATCAGCTTCAGCTGTTCCACGTCGTTGGAACCGGTAAGGAGGTTATCCACATAAAAATCCTTTCGAGTAATTCTTGATGCGTGTGGGAATCGCTGTTCTTCGTCTGTGGATAGCTGTTGCAAAACGCGAGTTGCCATGAAAGGCGAGTTGTTCAAACCGTACGTAATGGTGAGTAACTGGTACACTTTCAAACGGAGTTCAGGGTCATCACGCCACAATATGCGCTGCAACGATTGATCCAAGAGATGGACCAGAATCTGTCTGAACATCTTCTCAATGTCAGCGGTCACGACGAAACGATACAATCGGAATCGTAGCACTATTTCCACTAGCATTTCCTGGATTGTGGGACCAGGAATCATAACGTCGTTAAGAGCCGATCCCGAACGTGATTTACAGGATGCGTCAAACACGGTTCGGAGTTTGGTGGTTGTACTCTCAGGTTTCAAGACCCCGTGATGTGGTAGGATAAACTGTGGTCTGACGTTCAGTTTCTCTTCTGCAACTTCACGCATGTGCCCCATTTCAATGTATTGGGTGACGAAATCATGATACTGCTTCCTTTTCTGTGCATCCGACATTAGAGAACGTTCCAACGAATAGAAGCGTCTAGTGGCCTGGTACATGTTATCATCCAACTGAGCGATGAGTTCTTCACGTTTTGGTAGCCTGACTACGTATCGACCTTCCGGCGTCCGTGTGGTGTTGGCCAGGAAGTGCTCCTCACAAAACTTATCCGTGGCTGACCAACCCTTGGTATCATGGACGGTTTCCAGCTCCCAAAACTTTCGAAGCATTTCTTCTACACGAACTGCACTACTCATTAGGCAGGAACGAGGATCAGCATGATCGTGGTCTCGAATGGTGCAGGGACCTGACACGAATTCTGCAAAACTGGCAACTGCTCACCAAGCTGGATACGAACTAAGATTAGGTCAATTTCATTCGACACGTGGAAAGTTGGATCAGCAAGACGCACTGTTTCAGGAATCTGCCATTTCTGTGTACTGATTGTTGATCCTGGCAGCTTGATGGCGAGAGAGGGTAGAACTAGAAGTTGCGGTTCCACAACGTACGGAGAAACTCTTGACGATACCTTGGCGGTAACAGAATGCGTGGCCTTGGTGGTTGATTGACCTATGCCACACACTAGAACAGGAACAGAAGCACGTATACGTGGGAGTTGTAGTTTCTCGCAAAGAGCCTTTGTGATGAAATGGCTCTGGGGCCCCGAGTCGAGTAGACAACGGGCAAGAACTTTGCGACCTTGAGCATCCTCAATTTCCACCAGTGCGGTAGGGAGAATAACAGCAGTGTGTACATTATCCTTGTCACATGCCATCATGGCATAATGCAGGTTTGCAGGAAATGTTGGCGCTGTAGAACATTGTGGAGGATGGGAACCGACAACCGGGGACAACCTTAGAGGTTGGGACAGGTTCTGCAACGGCAGTGCAGGAGTATTCACTACAGGAGACGGAGTCGGTTGAACAGGATTTGGAGCAGATGGTTGTGCAACAAGTGTAACAGATCCACTGGCTTGAGGACCTGGAGAGGGCTGTTGTATGAACTGTGCCCCATGGAGAAGAGTATGGTGTTTCTTCGGACAGCGGTTGCACGGTTTGCTTTGACAGGACTTCGCAAAGTGATCTGTGCTACGGAGGCAATTGGAACATAACTTCTTCGACTTCACGAACTCGAACCGGTGCTGTTCAGATAGCTTCTGGAAATCAGGGCAATGGTACAGGAAGTGACTCTGGTTGCATTTTTCACACCTCCTGAAAGATTCTGTGGCTTGGGTGGAGGACGAGGAGCTGAAATGCACTGAGGACTTCATTGGCTTCACCTTTGGATCACGATCTCGACTGGAACCAGGGGACGGATTAACACATTGCAGAACTCTGGCATAATTCTGAAGGTAGTTCACCATCGATACATATGTCGGCATATCATTTTCTTCTGCTTCATCACATGCCACACCACCAAGAACATTGGCAATATTATCACTATCCAGCCGGGCACAATAGCTTTCCCATTCTTTCTGCGTATGTGGATCCAAACGGGTTGACAACTGGTAAATTAACAACGAATCCCAGGAATCAGTGTCTTCTCCCAGTCGCTTCAGTACAGAAATGTGCTGCTCGAATCTATCCACCAAGTTGAGTAGCTCATCAGCCGATTCCTTCTTCATACTGGGTACCTCGTACAACAACTTAATATGACACCGAATAAGCTGTCGTTTGTTTTCATAGCGCAGCTTCAGTGCTCTCCAAGCATCGCGGTATCCGTCCTTGCATATCGAAATTGAATCAATAATCCTCGCAGCTTCACCCTGGACTAAGCCCTTAAGGTACTGGAATTTGTCGACACTGCTAATTTCGACACGATTTCCAATGGCAGAATCAAAAGCATCACGAAACACACACCAATCAGCAAGGTTTCCACTGAACCGAGGTAGATTTAATTCAGGAAACCGAATGTGACTGGCGGGTCTGACAGATTGCGTTGGCGGATTGACAGGTTGTGCATTTTGGTTGAGATGTTTCGATAAAAATGCACGCAACGCGTAGTATTTCGTGTCGAACTTCATACGATCCTCTTTGTTGTCATCACCGTACGTGGCTTCAAGAATGCACACCGTACGACGATACTCCTTAGCTATCTCTTCAAGCCTATCTGACCATGCTCCTAACAATTCTGCATGCTGTCCTGTTTTTGCCTCCCTTGCAAGAGTCATCAGCAATTCAATTGACTCCCACAAGTGCTCTTTATTTCTCCGCAGAAAATCTCCTTATCACCCTCAACCTTAAACATTTTGATTTTAACGTGGCTCTACACGGTACGCGAATACGGAACGAGTCTCCTTCCCGTGTCAACACACGGTTGAAACGACCGAACCGGGGAAACGAGACGACATAAAGTGCTTTCTCACCGACGTCGACGAGCCGAGACGAACACGAGCCAATATGCGAATTGGTTACCACGACGCGAGTCATGTGCAAGAGAAAAAGAAGCAAGGTACTCACTCAATGCTGGGGGGCTTACGGCGATCCCTGGTGGCTGGGTTAACAAACAATCCTCGGGACCAGCGTGGAAATGGAACGCCGACAAGCGAACAGAAAACTCGCTCTCCTCTCTTGGGTAGCCGGTACCAGTAACCGGCGGCAGCAAATCAGCAACACACTCACAGATGCCGATTTTCTTCTCGATATCTTCTCGTTCTCACATATCACCAACACCGTAGTCAGTGTTTCAGTTCTTCTCACGAGTCACGAATAGTGTGGAAATATTCAACACAACAAAAACACTTCAAGTGCATTGCGCAAAAATCACCAACAGTCACTCACACATCGAAAGCTTTCAGTTGTGTGCTGCTTCGCATGGAAATTTCTTCCCAGTTCACGTTCTGCTACTTTCGGTTGCGCGTCTAGATTTTTGCACTGCGCAATTTCTCAAACGAGCGACTTTCGTTGCTGTACAGCAATTTTCACGCTCTGTACCACTTGTACACACTATTCGGCAGCAAAGCTGCGAAAATCACTGCACCACTTCAGTGGTGCAAGCTAATTTTTGTCAAACTTTCACTTTTCACACGCGAGTCGGACGAATCCGAAATCCCGGCACGAACAAACCATGGATCCGGCTCGAAGGACCATGTAAAATCTAGGAATTTTTGTTCCGATCCCGAATCACTTCACTACGGATTCACGAACCGGCCTTCGTGTTCTTTTTATTAACTTCTTCTAATTATTTCAGGATACAACTCGCGGTGAACTCGGACGGGGAAAATATAACTAAAAACGCCCGGACTCTTTGACCGTTTACAAAGTACTGATTTTATTTCGTATTCTGTTTGTTCTACATAGATTGTCTTCCGTTTGTGTGTGTGTTAGTGTTTACTGAAGGTGTATGGTATATGAGGATCAAAAGCGAATACAAACAGGGTAGGGTGGTTCGAAAAACTATTGGAATGTTAGGGTGGTTCAAAAAAGTTACTATCTTTGCATTTAACAAACTAGATTGGTTGATTGTAAAATGACTTATGTAACATTGCTTCTACTTCTTCACCTTCTTATATATTTTTTTCTTATTTTTCTTCTTCTTTGCAGTTCAAGCTTATTGCCAATCGCATATTAGCTTATTGTGTGCTCTCAACTTAGTGTTCTTGTTGCACTTCCACATTTTTTTCCTTTATTATAGAGATTTTCAGCCTTTGCCTGGTTCATCTCTTGTTGCATATTATACATAAGGGAGGGTTTATAGACCCCCTGGGCTTGTTATCACTAGTTTAAAATCTACCAAGGGGTTCGACACTCAGCACCAAAAACACCTGGGCACACTTATTGGCACTGTTTGGCACCCATGGTATATAATTTTTTGATCTCTAAATTAACTGTTATCACTCTATTTCTGCGCCTGCGCAGTGACGATGTGTCAACATTTGATTGTTGACTCAAGCTATGTTTGGTATCCACAACAGATAATTTCGCCGGAGCCTCCAACTCACCCTTACTGCCATGGTCCACAACCGGAGGAACGGAAGATGCTGACATCATGACGACGACCGGGTGATTCATTTACGAAGCACAGTTTCGTCACTGTACTATGACGAGCACCTCAACGGTAAAGCAGCAGAAAACAAAGGTGGCACGGCAACATACCTTGGAGCACGCGCAGAAGACGACACGCTACCGGCTCCTGATCTTCAAGAAGTTGAGGAGGAGATCGGTCGGCTGAATAACAACAAAGCAACTGGTGGAGATCAACTACCGAGTGAGCTATTAAAATATGGTGGTGAAGAACTGGCTAGAGCGCTGCACTGGGTATTACCGGAGGAGTGGATGGAAGGTGTCGTATGCCCAATCTACAAAAAGGGCGACGAGTTGGATTGCTGCAACTACCGCGCGATCACACTGCTGAGCGCCGTCTGCAAGGTACTCTCCCAAATTCTATGCCGCCGTCTGTCACCATTTGCAAGAGCGTTCGTGGGGCAATACCGAGCGGGATTCATGGGTGCCCGTGCTACCACGGACCAAATTTTCGTGATTCGGCAGGATCTGCAGAAATGCCGCGAATACAACGTGCCCACACATCATTTGTTCATCGATTTCATATCCGCATACGACACAATCGATCGAGATCAGCTATGGCAGAATATCCACGAGTACAGATTTCCGGATAAACTGACGCGATTGGTCAAGGCGACGATGGATCGGGTGATGTGCGTTGTTGGAGTATCGGGGACACTCTCGAGTCCCTTTGAATCTCGAAGGGGGTTACGGCAAGGTGATGGACTTTCGTGTCTGCTATTCAACATCGCGTTAGATGGTGTGATCAGAAGAGCTGGAATTGACACGAGTAGCACGATCTTCAGCTTCTTGGCTTCGCCGATGACTTTGACATCATGGCACGGAACATTGAGACGATGGCGGAAACGTACATCAGACTGAAGGCTGACGCTAGGCGGATTGGACTTGCCATCAACGCATCAAAGACAAAATACATGAAAGAAAGAGGTTCTAGGGAAGACAATGTTAGTCTCCCACCCCGATTACAGATTGGCGGTGACGAAATCGAGATGGTCGATGAGTTTGTGTATTTGGGCTCACTGGTGACCGCCGAAAATTATACCAGCAGAGAAATTCAAAGACGCATTATGGCAGGGAATCGTGTCTACTTCGGACTCCGGAGGACGCTCCGGTCGAATAAAATTCGCCGCCGCACGAAGTTGACTGTCTACAAGACGCTGATTAGACCGGTGGTCCTTTACGGCCACGAGACCTGGACTATACTCGTG